ATGATATCGTTGCCATGTTGACGAAATGGAAACGGTTGCATTCAATTTTTGTGCACTTTTGAAATGCATTATAAATGTTTCTTGTGAGGAACTATGCTTGTGTACTTTGAAATGAAGAATTACCATCGATATAAGTGCATCTTTCTCATCTGTAACAAGTTGTTTTCTCATATGAATCCTGCTTGGTAAAGTCACTATTTATATTTCAGCACGATCCAAGGTTCAGGCCGCTCATGTATCAAATCTTCTTATATGGTTCTGTGACCAAATATTTATATCTGTATAAGTGATCAGTTGCCAATTGTCTACCGTACTTGAAATATCTTGAGCTCTGGACTAAATGGCAACTATAGTCTCAGAATCGGTGAGAAATGGTAGTGAGACAATTGTGAGAGTAATACCAAATAAAACCCAGCTATTTTATCCCTCCAGTGCTCATTAAAAGATGCTATTACAGTGGTTCCCTTTTCAGCATATAAAATGGTCATTCACCCATAGGTTAAATATGAAACCATTTTACTAACTTTCATTAATACACTATGCCCCGCCGCGGTGGTCTAGTGGCTAAGGTACTTGGCTGCTGACCCACAGGTCGCGGGTTCAAATCCCGGCTGCGACGGCTGCATTTCCGATGGAGGCGGAAATGTCATAGGCCCGTGTGCTCAGATTTGGGTGCACGTTAAAGAACCCCAGGTGGTCGAAATTCCCGCAGCCCTCCACTACGGTGTCTCATAATCATATGGTGGTTTTGGGACGTTAAACCTTACAAATCAATCAATCATTAATACACTACAAAAAAGGCAAGAGAAGGCTCCATAATTCATCTAACTTTTGATTGATTGATTTGTGGGGTTTAACGTCCCAAAACCACCATATATGATTATGAGAGACGCCGTAGTGGAGGGCTCCGGGAATTTCGACCACCTGGGGTTCTTTAACGTGCACCCAAATCTGAGTACACGGGCCTACAACATTTCCGCCTCCATAGAAAAATTCATCTAACTTTTACGCTTGGACTTCAGCCCGTGAGTTGCTAGCATAAAGTGGCTCGCAGCCTCTTACACACCATGGTAGCATAGTATCTAAATTAGGGGCCTCAAACTCGCCTCACAGAGCGGGTCGAAGTCAAGCAATTAACTCCCACAAAGCGGGGCAGTGAAGAAGGTAAGAGCCGGAGGGGCGGATGAAAGAAAAAAAAAAGCCAGCACAATCGCTCTGTCTTTTGTGTCCTCTCAATTCTCTCTTTCTCTTGTGTTCTTTTGTGTGTTTGCTAGTAATATGGGAGCATTCAGTCATTACCAACAAATGCAGTTAATTGCCTTAAAAAACAATTTGAGAGGAAATGCTGTCATTTGAAAGAAAACTTTCCTGTGTGTGCAGGTCATTTCTCAAGAATATTTGGTGTCAGATTTAAAAACTTGTCGATGCCGATCTCCAAAATCACTCAAATCTGGACGCTGATTGTGAAATATAACTTTTGTTTCATGGTTATGCGTCACAACATGGTAAGCTCATGGGATTACCCATGGAAACAATACCTTAAACCAGTTATGCCTGTGTAGCCCACAAATGTACCTATTAAGAAATTTTTAAAAATGTGAGGTTTAAGACAGTATTGTGTGGGCTGTCGGCTGTAACCGAGAGTTTGAGACCCCTGATCTAAAGCGTTGCACTGCAAAGCTCAAGGATGTAGATTCGATTCCTGGTCATGGCAGCAGCATTTAATGGGGGCGAAATACAAGAACATGCATGTTCTTAAGTTAAGATACAAGTTTAACAACCCGAGGTGGCAAAGCTCCACAATTCTTTTTTGGCCCCTTATTATTATTTTTTGCTAACTCTTGTGAAAACAAAATATTGTGTCACTTTATCGAATTTAAATAGCATGAATGAGTTTTAGAGTGCATACCTTTACATAAAATTGTTGAAAAAGTTTAAATGTCAAGTTATGTGCCACTTTTATTTGCCTCGAGACAAGTTGCAATATATTAAAGGAAAGATTATACGTGCGATAATTGTTTCATTCCCTGAAGATGCTGTACTATGTACTATTCAGTGTGTTGTGCGAGTTTTACTACACTACACACTATTGAATTAGTCAGTAAGGCAATGCTATAATATTGCATTGCCGTGTACTTTCCAATTTAAAACCACCTTGGTCACTTAATTTCAGTTTGTGTTGATATAACTTCTCTGCTTTTTTTTTCTTCTCTCCCTTTTTGAATCCACAAAGCTATGATTTCAAGATTGAACAAATAAACATAATGTTGGTGAGTGGATTTACAGGCAGTTCATTAATTCAATGATTGGTGCCCCTCACCAGGCTCAACTGAAAATTTTGGTTACTCGCTGAAAGTTGTAAGGCACTTTCGAAGAGCCCTCCTACTGAAATACTTTTTCAAATCAGTTAACTACTAGAGTAATGTTGCCATGCTGTATGGAGATGAGAACCACATTGCCTTGGGTGTAATCCACTAGTAGCATACTTTCCTTATGATCTTCCATGTGCCGAAGCCAAACCAAAATGTCATGTTTGTGTCTTGGGTCCCAGTGCAGTGAATTTTTGTGACGAGCAGTTTCCTTTTTTATTCTCTTCATGGTGCATTTTGCTGTGCATTTTGCTGTGCATTTTGCTGTGCATTTTGCTGTGCATTTTGCATTGATTACCAAACTGAAGTTGCATGACATAATTAGTGGAATCCAAAGCAGTGCATGTGTGCATGCTTTTGACTCTCACTCGAAGCACAACTGTCTTGACAATAGCACGCACTTTCCTCTAATAAGTTTCAACTGTTTTCACACTATGGAGCCCTTTGATATGTTGCAAAACCAATTGTCATCACCTGATTCTCACGTTCATGATAATGAGCCACACTTATTTAATTTAAAGCCCCTGAAACTTTATGAAGTAGCGACATACTTTGAAGAAAGTGCTCCTCCCTTTTCTTTCTCCTCTGCCTTCTCTCACACTGATGCCGCTTTGCAATTAGCCAACTGGCATCATGTAAGAGTGCGCAGAGAGTTCATTCTTTTACAGTTGCTCTTGATCACCATCTTTAATCTGTATCTCTGCGTACTGTCGAAGAGTGCATGTATCAAGTGTGTATGCAGTTGCTGCTTGATGAGCATTTTGTTGCAACATAAGTTGGGTTACAAGTGCGACAGCGCTTTTCATCATGGGTAGGTGCTGTGCTTGTGGAGGCTCACACAGATTTAGTGATGGCAAAAATATTATCACGACACCGTCCTGTAGGTGCGACGAGTCACGAAGAAACACATGTGGCTGCACCAAATTGGAATGTAGAAATTCTAGAGCAAAATCTTCAATCTACAAGTATCTCAATGTAAATTGTTTTGTGGTTTGGACAATTGGCTGCATGTTATTACATATTAAAGGTTCAATTTCAATAAGCATGTCGTGTCTCTTGGATGCTCTAACACAGCATCTGCATGATCTTCTCCTTGTATCAACCCACTGTCTGTTTTTGTGCACTTGACATTACACACACCAAATGATTCATAGCTGTGATCTTATTTCGTGGGGCCTAACAATAAAAAAAATTAGGCTGCTTGCAATGGTGGTGCAAGGCTGGACTAACAACGGAGCTGATGGCCACCCTATTACCAATTCAGGTGGAACACAGACAGAATTAGCTTATTAAGCCACTATGACTTCACCAAACATGACTTTACTGGCACAAACGCATTGAGCACAGATTAATCAAACGTGACTCAATCTGTGTTTGTCTTAATTTAGATTAAACTAATCTGTGTTAGTATATCGACACACATCTAACTGGCTTGATCACGGAGAACCAAAATTTAGTTTCAATTTTCGGATTAAATCAAAATAGCTTAATCCGGTCTGGCTTCACCTTCAATCTGCCTTGGTGAACTTGACTTAATCGGGATTTCGTTAGTAATTATTCTGAATTAACCAATATTAAGTAGAAATAACCAGGGTTTGTTTCATTAGGCTTGGTTATGCTTTACTTGGTTGAACTGAGCTCAACTTGGCTATGCTCAACAGCTTAAATAGATGACCTAATTCGACTTGACTTAGTCTTAGCTTAATTAGACTTGGTCATGAGTCATAAAGTTCCCCGACACCAGCTCGCATGCTGTCTTCTCGTGTGTCTTTCATCTTTTGTGCTGTTTCAAAATAAATCCAGAACAACTATGACAAAGTGGCAGCAGGAGTGTGCCAGCACGTGTACAACAGTGAGAAAATTTGACCACTAAATGAAGACGCCTTACTGCACATGCTGGCATGGCATGCAAAAAAATATTTAAAAAAAAGAACAGGTTTCTTTGTTGGCCAGGAAGAAGGAGCTAGAAGTTGGAACAATGAAGACGCGTTGGTCTGGTCGGATGAAAGCGTTCGGGAAGCCAACATTGTTGAAGGCACCCGGTCAAGCATCGACGCCTGAGTGACTTTGTAATATAGGTCAGCAAACTCACTCACGAGTCAACTCACTCTGACTCAGATCAAGCCGTGAGTCTGTGTGAGTCCGGTTGAAGGAAATTTTGGTGAGTGCGAGTGAGCTCGGCTCAGAAAAATTTTGGCGAGTCTGAGACAGAGGGAATCCACAGCGCAAAATATATTTCTTGGGTGAGTTTGAGTGAGTTCCACTTTCTCGTGCCGACCTAAGGTCCTATCTAGTCATCGTGAGCATTACTATCAATCTTACCTGAATTCACGTTTATAATCCCATCTATTCACATGTATTCTAAAGCATTGTTATTCATACACCATTTCAATATTGATTAATTATAGGCGTGAATTACGTTGAAAGGAGCCTTGTTCCCCACCAATTCTTGTAGAAGATGTCTTGATTATTATATTTTATGCTGTCACCTTTCGAAGAAAAATGACCTTATGGGTTTGTAAGCACTCAGAACTCGTTTTTGAAGATACTATGTCAAACGGCACCAAGAAGAGTAGTGACTACGTGAGATATTGGTGTTAAAGAGTACTGACACCATAGTCGGAGAAGCTAATTCTAGGCTGACGGAGTCGACTCACTCGGACTCACTCAGACCGAGATCGATCCATGAGTCTGAGTCTGAGTGATTGCTCGTAAGTAATGTCTTGGTGACCTGGCTGAACAAAATTTTTGTGAGTGTGAGTCCCAGTGACTCTGGCTGAGGAAACTTTTCGTGAGTTTGAGTCCAAGTGAGTCCAAAGCTCAAAATATATTTTACGAGTGAGTCTGAGTAAGCTCCACGTGTTTTGCCGACCTATGCATTGCAATGACATGTCTTCTACCCCGGTGCCCTGCGGATGTAGATTAATATGCGAGAACTCACCTGGCCCTTCTTTCCCAATAAGACCTGCAACACAGCCACGACCACTGCTTTAAGTCCCAACGTGTGAGAATGTAATTTTTTTTGGACCGACATTTAAAGAGACTTTTCCTCATCATGGTGCTTGCTGTGCTTTTTATTTGTGTCGTTTGTGTATCTTTATGTCAGAAAAAGGTTTTTGTGCTGTGCCAGTTGTCTCCTCTTCCTTGCTGCCCGAGAAAATGTTTATGACACCTTTCTATAAGCCTTCTCCCTGATGCTCCCACGTAACATCATGCTTGACTTATTGCATTACAAGCACTAGGCAATGTCTGATGCCATACAGGTTTAGGTAAATCATGATAATGATAGTACTTATTCACTCTGCACAGCGTAACAGGTCTGCTGTAATAAATGAACAGACTAATTTGCAGGAATGGAGGGCCACACACAAGAATTTATTTCGATACTTTATAAATTCGAAACAGTTCTTTTGATAAAACATTTAGCTCGGTCGTGTGCCTTTTTTTTAATGAGTAGTCACTTTTTACAGGTAATGGAGCTTTTTTCCTCTTCCTAGCTGACAGTAAAAAAGTGTATTATGTCCGACGAAGATTAGTGGCTTAGTCATTGGTAGACAGCAGCATTACAAGCTTTCGAGAACGCACGTGCCATTTCACGGCATGTACTGCTGTTGATGTTGATGCATTAAACTCATAATTGCACCGCTGCCCATCATCTGTGTGTCTGTGTGTGCTTAGTACAAACATTGGCAAGTGAGTGGTACTGAAGCTCTAACACCTTACTGAATCTTCGGAGTGGCTGTCGCTCATACTTCGTGTGTCATAATGATACACCCTGCAAATTCACCGAGGAAGATCAACAAGTATTAACTAGGTTTCAGAGAATTGGCTGCAAACCATGACGTTTGCACTTAGTCTCAAACACGTTACTTACAATGATTTGCTACAGGACCAGGTGATATGGGCTCATTACAGAAGTTCCGTACTGAACATTAGCATTCATACTGTCGCCTCCGATATGTGGGCTGCCATTACACTAGTTTAGACACTTTCACTGTGGAATAGTTATCACCACAGTATAACAGTGCAGTTAATATGTTCGTGTAACCCATCAAAGAGAATCATTGTGCTGCAAATAAACGCACTTCTAGCCAGACTGCAAGCATGAATGATATTAATGCACTGCCTGACCCAGCGCACATTAACTCTACTAAATGTCCTGCGCTTTATGCTGGAGCAGCAGGGCATGTTGCGCTACAATCAAAGAGGAGGCACGAAAGGGACAAGAAACGAAGAAGAGTGTGTCGCTACTTCACAAAGTTCCAAAGCTTGCAAAGCACAAAGCTATTCAGGTACCCTTTAATGTGCTGTACATGTCTGCTTTGAACACAATGCATTCACGTAGGTTTTTTAAATATATAGGAACAAGGATAATGAAATCCATATTGTACATGATGACATTTGTGCATAAATGATTGTGCAAACAGTATCTTACCTTGCTTCCATTTTTCGAAAAAAAAAAATATTTCTCAAACCTATGGCCACTTTAACTTAGTTGAAACTCATTATTATATAAAACCCAAATTTTATGCCAAAAACCAGCAGTGATGTACAAGATGCTATTGTACGTTCCTTCCTCAGGATGGTGTCCTCGTTGAAAACATGTTCGACCTTCCTTATGTGAAACCGAATCAGGCTGGACCAGAATTGAATGCCTTCATGGCACTTGTCTGCACAGAAGTAAAAAAGATACTTCCTTCTTAGCCCGGTGGTGTACAAACACTTGCTGGAAATAATAAAAGTGCATTAGCTGTTGCAGCAGCCACAGGTAATTCCTATTCTTTGCATACTTGCCGGAACCAATATTGTGACTTCATAATATATTCAGTAATTGTTTTCTGCCTGAATTGTTTCCACTGTTATTGCATACTTATTTAGTGATACTAGTATATCTATTTAATAAAATTTCTTTTAATCTGTCCAAACGATTTCCTCGTGGCTTGAAAAATACCATCTAACCATCCCATCATCCCATAAACAAGCAACCTTGTTTTCCCATACGTTTGGTTTTGGCTACCATTGCTTTACGACATATTGACCCAATAGACAATACACCATGAAAAAAAAAAATTTCTTTATAAAGTTAGCTATGCAGATGTGAAGCTGTCATTAAAGCTGTGTAGATAAAATTTTGTTGGTGAGAGAGCTTTTCAGGTTGATTTGTGTGAACAGACATAATCTCATTATTATTGGCAAACGTAGCTTAGAACATAAAATCATTCTTAAAGTGTGTGTCATGCAACTGAGTGCACAAAGCAGAACTTGGCTTGAATGTAAGCAAAAACAATTTGCATCGGGAGCCTCAACTTGTAAGATACGTAGTCTTTGTCATCTCTGGATGGCAAAGAGATCAAAAGTCCAGAGATTCGCAGCGTAGGTGGTCGCATGTCTTCAACGAAGAGCATCAATCTTAATCTACACTCATGTGGCCAGTTGTGTTTACATTCCAGCAGCTCTGGACCCACTTTTCTTGGTGCTCCCTGAAACTGAAAGTGAGACTGGGCACTATGAAAATGACTGGAAATAACCATCAAGTGCTGAAGAAATGCAAGCAGCCATCATAAGTGGGTCATAAATTACTTACTGCGAGAGAAAAACTGTGAACTATTCCACTCTCTTAACGTTGATGGTAACATGGCAGAGGCCAGCTATATATCAAAGGCCAGGTTGTGAGTGGACTCCATAGTGTTCAACCCACTGTGCAGAGTCTGCCACTGCATGCTGATGACCACATTAAGCGATATTTGTTTACCATGCCCACCTATAAGACCACATTCTTTGCTTCACGATGTGTGCCAATTTCTTTTTCTTCATGAGTAGGCTTTGATAAAACACACAATGTGTGCAAGCCAGCTTTCTCATAAATCACGCCAACGCCAATTCTTTTAAGTTAGCTTCACTTCTTCGGCTGCTGACCCGCAGGGCGCGGGTTCGAATCCCGGCTGCGGCGGCTGCATTTCCGATGGAGGCGGAAATGTTGTAGGCCCGTGTGCTCAGATTTGGGTGCACGTTAAAGAACCCCAGGTGGTCTAAATTTCCGGAGCCCTCCACTACGGCGTCTCTCATAATCATATAGTGGTTTTGGGACGTTAAACCCCACATATCAATCATAGCTTCACTTCTGAAGATAGATGCATTGATGAAAAGACATAATCTTCCAAATACAATATGAAAATTTTTATTTGAATAGGATGGCCCTATAACCTTTTCTTAGAGTACGAAAAGGAGTGAAGCATGTTGGTTTGGTAATGATGCACATGGCATCTTCTTTCCACTTTTAAGCATAAGCGATTCAGTCTTTCACCATCATGTAGTCAGAATAAGAAGCATAAGAAACACAACAGCACACCACGTACAAGAAGTCAAATTCTCTTGGTTCTAGTTCCATCAGTAAGATAATGTATCTCAAGAAAGAGAAATTTAGAATACAATCACTGTTTGTAACACGAAGCCAAAAGAAAAACCTTGAGGCTTTGTGCTACAAATGGGTGGTTGTCTTCTTTCCCTTTCTGAACCCTACTACCACCTTGTGGGTTTCCACAAAACTCGTTTGCAATAAAGTATCTCGATTTTTAAATATGCCTTCCTCGGTTAGCTAGCCCTGTCCTAGGAAACAGCAAACCAGGACACTATATACAATGTTAAGGTGTAAAATGCATGCAGACCTTATTGAACTGACCTCAACAACCTTGACAATCGCTTATTGCGATAGGATGTGTCTTTTCCTGTAAGAACTCAAGCATTCATACCAAGACCCTCTTTCATCTAAAACATTTGGCAAAGCATGTTTCTTTGTTTCTGCATATGGGTAAACAGGCCTTGTACGCGGAGGTGTAGGTCACATATGATTATTATAAACCCACCATAGGTGCCAAGAAATGGCAAGCGTTGGAATGGTAAAACAACAGAGCCATTACTACTACAATATACTACTGTTTGTCTAGGGTTTTTATCGTGGACATGGCAGTTCTTTGGACTTGTCTTGAGTTGTCCTGTGTCCTGTAACATAGAATATACTTGGACTTTTATAGCCATTCTGTGGGGGCAACCTTCCTCTATTTCATGGGATCGAATCCCGGCTTCGGCGGCTGCATTTCCGATGGAGGCGGAAATGTTGTAGGCCCGTGTGCTCAGATTTGGGTGCACGGTAAAGAACCCCAGGTAGTCGAAAGTTCCGGAGCCCTCCACTACGGCGTCTCTCATAACCATATGGTGGTTTTGGAACGTTAAAACCCACAAATCAATCAAAACAAACCTTCCTCTATCAGAAGTCTAGTACTGTACATTGTGTAGAATTCTCTATCTACAAGAAGGAAAGCCTCCACGTTTCTTAATTTCTAATCTTGCTTGAACCTCTGATCTCATGCACAAGACTGCATTGCTGAAAGACAAACCAGGAATCATAACCTCTTTCTATATTCCTCTCACAACATCATACCTATTGTAATTCCACAGTGCCCTATCTTTTATCACCACTGCATTCCTGTTACCTTTAGTCCTTGCGTATATATTTTGTGTCCCTTAGGTACTCGGTCCCATTGCTTATCCATACGCCCAGATATTTGTATTTATCTGTTACCTATACCGTGGCCTCCTGTATCCTAAGCTCACTACTTTCACTATCATTAAAAATTATGACTGCTGAGTTTTTTTTTACTGAATCTGACATCTAACCTATCTTCCTCATTATCGCAGATGTTCATCAATCTCTGCAAATCTTCCTTGTTGTCGGCCATTAGCACTATATCAGCTGTGTACATCAATGCTGGTAGTGCCTGTTCAGTGAGCTTTCCTTGTTTGATGAAAGAGAAGTTGAAGCCAAGTCTACTCCCCTCTAATTTGGCCTCTAATCCTTGTAGGTACATCATGAATAACAAGGGTGACAGACGACATGCCTGCCTAAGCTCCCGTTTTATCTCTCTGGGCTTGGATACCTGTTTTTCCTATTTTATAACTACCTTGTTGCTTTTATAGATATCTTTCAAAAGATTAATGACTCCATCTTCCCACCCAATGTGTCCAGTATTCCTCACAAGTCCTCTTGAATCACGCTATCGTGCCCTTCCTTGATATCCAAAAATGTCAGCCACAGGGGCCCGCGTTCCTTTTCTGCTATTTCGATGCACTGCGTCAGTGAGAACAGATTGCCTTCTAACCTCCTTCATTTTCGAAACCCATTCTGCAGTTCCCCCAGCATCCCTCATCCTCTATCCATGCCTGCAGTCTTTCCTTTGTAATTTGCATAACCAGTCCTGTAGACCACTGATGTCATTGTTATAGGACAGTAGTTGTTCATGTCAGCTTTGTCCCCCTTTCCTTTATACATCATGCTCATCCTGCTAAGTTTCCATGCATCGGGGACTTCACCACTGATTATTATTTTGCTCGCTGCCTCTCTTAAAGTCTGCTTAGACTTGGGACCCCATGGCTTTATCAGCATAACTGGGATGCCATCCGGGCCTGTTGATGTACTACTAGAAACCCTCTTCTCAGCGCTTTCACACTCTCGTTGTGAAAATGGCGCCACTGCACCACTTGATCCATCCTTGTCTATTAAGGTGCATAGGGCACTTAGTTGAAATTTCTCTGTCACCCTTGTTCTTATATATTCAATAGCTTCGTCCCCTTTTAGCCTAGCACCTTGAGCTGTTGTTATAAACCTCTGCTCTAGGCTCGTCTCATTTCTTAGGGAGTTTAGATGGTTCGAAAATTTTGCAGCTGCCTTTCTATCTTTCTCATGTACTTCTGCCAGCCACTGAGCCCCCTTTCTTCTAATTTTTTCATTGATCAGAAGAGATGCTTCCCTTCTACAGCTTAGAAAGATGTCCCTTTTTTTTTCAACATCATCTGTTGGTTCACCCCGCTGCTTAGCACGTCTGTGTTCCCTAGAGGCTTCCTGACGTTTTGCTATGGCTCTCTTAACTTCCCAATCCCACCAACTCTTGTGCTTGTGTCTCTTTTTCTCGGGGGACTTGTCACGTGCCTTTGCAAGCTCCAGCTGAGTCTAATTAGATTCGTATACGTCCACACTGTTTTGTTATCCTCAGTGATTACTTTCTCAATTTGTTTAGTAGTTATTTCTATTTGCCCTTCCGGATAAAAATTCCCCTTTAGTTGCTCATCTTGTCTCCTTCGCATTTTCATTGCTCCTCCAAAACTGAGCTTGATACGTTAGTGATCAATACCCATGTTATTTGTCCTTTCACACTTTTCAGTATTGTTACAAATGATCAAGCCATGCCTTTCACACATAGCCATGATCATTTTGCCTGTTGGGTCAGTTTACCCATCTATATCTCTTATGTGTGCATTCATATCTCCTAGTATAATTATCTCGCACTCTCCTCCTAATTCCTCAATGTCATTTGTTATGCACTCTACCATTGCTTGGTTTCCATCTCTGGCCTTTGCTCACATTCACAAGTACACCAAGCCCTGTCGGGGTGCTCTAGTGGCTAAGGTACCTGGCTGCTGACCCACAGGTCGAGGGAGCGAGTCCCGGCTGCGGCAGCTGCATTTCCGATGGAGGCAGAAATCTTGTAGGCTCGTGTGCTCAGATTTGGGTGCACGTTAAAGAACCCCAGGTGATCGAAATTTCGGAGCCCTCCACTACGGCGTCTCTCATAACCATATGGTGGTTTTGGGACGTTAAACTACACATATCTATTACTCAACAAGTACACCAAACCAAGGAGTATCATATCTGCCCAGCTACTCTCCCTCTTAACCATAAATGTTTCCTGCATCCATGCTTGACTCTTTGCCAACACATACTTTTATGTATAAATGCCCTAATTCCACCTCTCTTTTGCTGCCTTCTGTTCTATTGCAATATTCCCATACGAGGTCCAGATTGCAAGGTGGTTGCTCCATGTCCCGAAGATGTGTCTCCACAACCCCATATACCATCAGCTCCTGCTGCCTTAACTGCTCCTCTATCTCTTCCCACTTTAACCTATTCCTGCCACCCTGCATGTTAATATAACCTACGTCTGACATAGCTCGGCCCTTGTGCTTACGTCGATTTCTTCTCCCACGGACTCCGTGTGGCTTGAATATTTGGGCCCCTTTAGAACCGTCTTTGGCTACACTGTTGGCCTCAGGGTCCTCCTAAAAAAGCTGTGGCTTGACTCCTGCCCGTCGCGCCACTGTAATGAATGTCATATTGTGCAAAGGGGCGAGCGCCGGGCTCGTACACCTGGTACACGTCTTGTTTCACATCTTGGTTCACGCTAGTGACCTCAATGCTCCCTGGTTGTACAGTGTACTAACAGGGCGGTGCGCTTAGTGCATGGAGGAAGAGTAACTTAGTGACGTCTTAACGTTAACTTTACTCTTTTGCTAGATGGTGCCAGTATGGTGCCAGCCTGTTGAGCGCTGACAAAACGACAATATTATTCAACAACCTGTAGTTTTTAAAAACACTTTTAAAAAGTTTCACATTGTTTAACTGCTGGTAATTTTTGGCTGTAGTAAACAAAGCTTGTTTAAAAGCAAGAGTGAGGTCAAGAGAAAACTGAGGTGATTGCGATCTAAAAATTATTTTGCTGTTTATTTTACTTACTTTTCCCTACTCCACAAGTTTGCACATGTAACCACATTTTTGAGATAGTAATTTTGCCTGTAGTCGATTTTGTTTACTCTCGTTAGTTCTATTTTGTTGTGAATGTATAAGCTATGTATTACCTCTTTCACTTGTCCTGACACACAAGCTTTTTTACGTAACCAAATTTTCCCTTCCGTACTTGTTTTAAGTGCTTGATCTGTCTATTGATACATTTCATAATTGTTTTCTTTGTGTATGAACTCGCTTTGTGTCAGTTTATAATAAATAAGAATGTTCTATATGAATATATTGTCTTTGGCTATTTTTGGGTTACTAATGGGCCTGAACTTGGCAAGTTGCTCTCCGAGCACCTGGCGACCCTGCATCAGGCTCATTTTGTTTTTGCTATTAAGTACTAAACTGGTAGGTGTTCTGTGGTACTACCATATTCTAGTACACTATACTTCTGTAGCGTCATGTGCCAGTGATTTCCTAGTATCGTGAAGTCTATATTTCCCTTTTGCTGCTTCGATATGAGTGCGTTATCTAATTTTAAACGGGTGCAACAGTGGGAAACGTTTACACCCCGCTGGCTCTTTTACGACACACGATGGCAGAACCCATTCCAGTCTGCCAAGATGATCTCCGATGTGTTGCAGGGTGAACACAAGCTGATATGTTCTCCCACAAGCGACTGCAGGGACCACGTTGTGGTGATGAACTGCAGCGAAATCGCCATGTCTTGGTACGAGTGGAAGTACCGCATGTATTTCCACGACACACGGATTGCTGGCGGGCGCTCCTGGACACCAGCATGGCAAGTGCAGGACAAGGACGCGACAAAGGTTCTTTGGAAGGCTGTGTACAGGGCACTGCCAGGCGACCTGAACAGGCAAATCCGGATAGCCAGGTTGCACCTGTTCCCAGACGACAAGGTGCCTCGCGAAATTATGGACAACATCTCGGGTCAACTGAGGCAGCTCCGGCGTGCACCTGTGTGGGTCAATTGAAGGGACGGTCGCTTTCGCAGTGTCAGCAGCGATAGATAAGGCCATGCCGATGATTATGGAACGGCTTTTCAGCAGCTTTGCTGAAGGTCTGACCGAGATGCACGCCGCCAGGTTAAACAGCCTAGCTTATTCCCTCCTTCGCTGCACACACTGTCACGGTCCAGGGTGAAGCTGAGCATCTCGACAATGAACAAAATAATCGGCGGCAAGAAGATGTTACTCCTGAAACGCTCATCAGCGCTCAGTCGCCGACCCCTGTGGGGCCCAGTGGGTCGTTTGGTGACATGAGGCTTGGTAATATCATTCATAAACGACGCAATGCTCCATTGTCTCCAACCAGTTTGCCAATGTCGAAACCAAAAAAAGTTATTACTAATACCAACAACCAGCAGGACGTTTTGCGTTCTGCAGTCGAGTCAACTATATTAAGCCCATCATAGCGCCTGTAAAAGCTCTCCAGTAAAATTGTCGTTCCGTATCTTCAGCTTACATAGATTTATTTATCTCATACAGCAAACAAATCCTAATATAATTTTACTTCAAGAGTCTTGGCTATCAGTAAACCAAACATTTACTCTGAAATATTTTCGAACTTTTAGACTGGATCGACCAGGTAGAGGAGGTGGATTATTGGCCCTAATATCTTCAAAAATGTGTCATCATGGTACTGTAACTTTTGAACATATTTGTCCGGATTGTGAATTGTTAGGAATAGATTGTTTGTTACCTGACTCCAACAGGACTACAGTGATTAATGCGTACATCCGAATGGAGTAAGACGCACAGATCACCTAGATTGTGTTATCAAGAATTCTTTGTCAAATTCAATTTTATTGGCTGGGGATTTTAACTCGCATCACACTTCTTGGGGGTTTAAAACAGATGGCTGTGGCAAAAGATTGTGGAATTGGTCAGGATAATAATTTTGCTGTCATAACTCTGGACAAGTTACCTTTGTACGTGGGATAAGCTCATCAACATTAGACCTAACATTTTCGTGTGGCCAGTTTATGATTTCATCGTGGGAACGTTTGATAATGGGACGAGTAGTGATCATGTACCGATTACCTTTGAAATATTGCTACCACAGCTTACCTCTGCTATCCGGCAACAACGGTTCACCAACTATAAAATTTATAAAACTGTTTTAAACTCCGCGCTCTCGTCATTGAGAGGACGCGTCGAACAGCAACGAGCTGCTTCAGTAGTAGCGTGTCTAAGTGACTCTGTTCAGCCGGCAGAGTTTTCTGTTAAGTACGGCAGCACACCGTCAAATTCAGCTTGGTGGAATGAAGATTGTACGCTTGCGTATAGGCGACGTAAGGCTGCTTAGAAACGTTTACGCCACAATCATACTCCGAAAAATTAGGTTGACTATAAATTCCACGCAGCGCTGTTTCAAACATACAGTTGCTATAGCTAAAGATAAAACACAATTGTGACTTACATTCGCGTTTATCCAAACCTGATAAAAGATCTGCCCTGTACAGGTTTCTACGCAACAAAAAATTGACGCAGGTACCAGCATATTCGCATTCAGTAGCGCTGTCTCCTAAAGAGACAACAGATTTGTTAGAGGGCATTGCGAAAGGACTTGAAGCGCGTTTCGCTTCGTCATGCTTGAGACCTGTGACATTCAAAAGCGCAACCTCAGACTTTCGGGAAGTCACTATGGCAGAACTGGCAGATGTCCTACTAACTGTAAAGCACTCAGCTCCCGGTCCAGATCAGATTACAAACTCTATGATTAAATTGATATTTGATTCCCATCCCGATGAGCTTTTGAATATTGTTAACTGCTCCTTACAGTACACATATGGATTCCAAGCGCATGGAAAATTGCTGAAGTTATGTTGCTGCGAAAAAAATCCAAGCCTCGGATATGTCCTGGATAACATTCGGCTAATTTCGCTTACTTCAAACCTAGTTAAAATAATTGAAAGAATTCTTCATGGAAGGCTCAGTGAATTCATCGCTCGTCAGGACATCCTTTCACCAAGGCAAGTAGGATTTAGACAGGGAAAGCCGAATTCGCCTTGCAAAAGTATCTGGTGGGCTTTCTGCATTAGTCACGTTAGATATCGCAAAAGCCTACGATAGTGTGGAACACAGTACATGAATTTCAAGATTAGTGGACTGTGAGGTGCCCAAGTACATTATATCTATGGTTCAGGAGTTTCTCTTTCAGAGACAATTCTTTTGTTGCCACGAGGGAATTACTTCTGCCTCATATAAGCAAACAAGAGATGTTCCGCAAGGATCAGTCCTGTCACCTCTTTTATTAATATATTATTATCATCCATTCCCGTTCATAAAAATGTTCCTCTTTACGTCTACGTCAATGATATTGCTTTTTTCTCGTCATCCCGAGATATCAATAGTTTGTATCAAATCTTACAGTCATATTTGAGTGAGCTTGAGGTATGTGCTTGGCGGGCTGTCTTTTTCACTTAATGTTACCAAATGTGCTCTGCTTGTATTCCCTCTATCCGTTCCCATATTTCTTTCACTGCATTATCGAAATGATCCGATTCCACAAGTAACAGCGCTAAAATATCTTGGCATTGTTTACGTGGACAATTTAAATTGGCAGCAACAAATAGAAACAAACACCCGTAAAGCAGAAAGCGTCCTAGGATTGCTACGCCAGTTTTGCAATAAGAGATCAGGGATGCGCAGGGATACGTTACTTACGATCTACAAACTTTACGTACACCCAATTCTGGAGTTTGGTTGTGTTCTGTTTTCCAAAAGTGCTGAGTACAAATTAAGACCTCTTATATTGCTAGAAAGGCAAGCTCTGCGGCTGTGTCTTGGGCTACCTAGGTGTGTCGTGAATAGCGCGCTTTATTTGGAAGCTAGAATCATTCCACTTGATGCTAGACTTCGACAGCCTACTGTGCAAACATTCTTAAAACTTTACGATGTGCCCCTCTTCTGTTCTCAGACAGTTTTCATCAAACATCTTTCAGCACCCGTGGTTTTGTTATCAAAGACCCCAAGTCATTTTCGTCGAGTCTCTGCTATCAAATCTTCACGTTTCCCTCCAGCATTTAACTCCCCAAACCCAATGCTCGGTGGAAGTTGACTTAACTTTTGATGATATTTTTCCGAAAAATGCCAAGTTACTTCCAAAGCATGTTCTGGAGGGCTTCCTTCAAGACCATCTCAGTCATTTTTCTAAATACGTAGTAATTTCGACGGATGCAATGCAAAATCTTCAGAAAACTGGAGTAGATATTTTTTCTAAACAGCTTAATTGGTCTTTTGCGCTCCGATTGCCTGACTTCACACCAATTTATCTCGCAGAATTCCTGGCTATTACATTGGCTCTTTGAAAACTAATTTATCAGCAATCAAAAGCTATTACTATTTCGGATTCATTGTCTGTATGTACACATCTAACGTCCGCAAAGCAGTCTCCTCTTCTCAGGATATTTTGGTCTCTCGTACCGCATAGCCTATCAGAAGTTCGGTTTATTTGGCTCCCCGGGCATGCTGAAATTGTACTAAATGAAATTGCTGATTCACTTGCTTCGGCATCTTTAAATTTCCCGGTGGTGCTAGTAGCCCCACAGTTTTCCTTTTATTACTGTAACGATTCAAACGCCTGTTAATCTTAAATATACACGAAACGTCTCTCCTACAACCTGAAGAATTTCGGCATTTGCAATTCACATGGAACACCGCAGAATGCCTTTCCCGTCAATATAAGGTGACCCTCACAAGCTTTCGCTGTAGAGTTCCTCGGTTGAATTTTTTTCTAAACAAATCAGGATTTTCATTTACTAACCTATGTGCAGTTTGCAATTAACCGGAAACAATAGATCACTTTCTTCTCATATGTCGCCGCTTCGCCTCACTACAACGAATAATTCTTGAAAGACCGATTGGTATGCTCGGATTGCCAGTCAATACATCCACCCTATTATCATTTGGAGCCAGTCAGTTGGGTGTGGGCCGCAGTGCTATTCTGCCAGCCCTACATAAATTCATTCAGGCAACCGGAAAGGATACGCTGCTAGTGGTACTGCCCGATATAACCAATTCTTTGTCGCCCTTCCTCATTTTTGGTAATTTGTTTTATATATTCTTGTTTATCACATTCTTCTACACTTTTTTCAGGTTTTTTTAAAGGAACATTATTATTGTTCCAATATAATTTCTCTTTCTTTTTTTTTTAGCAAGCGTTGTAAAAAAAAACGATCAATTATGAGGTACAGTGTGGCCAATCCCCCATGTGGGTATGAGCCAAGATATCCTAGGCGACAAGACAAGACAAGCAGCAACGTCAACGCCCGGCTCTCTCGGCTCATGCTTTGGTTCGTTGCTGTGCCGATTGCTGGAGGGTTCTTCACGGTTTTGTCGATGTCTTCTATCGGCTAATAAACCTCTTCATATTTGGTGGAAGGTGCTGTTAATACCCGTTGCTACACCCTGGAGCTGCGAAGCCACACGCTACTGCCTGCCATGACTGACAACGCCACTACATCTGCGCCTTCGCCCCAGTTCAACTGCCCTGGCCATCCTAGGCTACGGGACTCGAAAGGTCTTCAGTGGTGCGGATGGGACCGACATCGAAGACTGGCTCGAGAATTACGAACTGGTGAGCGCCAACAATAAGTAGGGATGAAGCCGACAAGCTGGCGCACGTCATACTTTATCTCACTGGCATCGCCGAATTGTGGTTTAACAACCACAAACACAACATCCCCACATGGAGTGTCTTCAAGACGTCATGTGCTGAAGTGTTCGGTCGGCCAGCTGTCCGCAAGCAGCGGGCAGAACAGCGCTTGCGCGTCCGCTCTCAGCAGACTGGCGAAAACTTTACCAGCTATATTGAGGATGTCGTCGACGTGCGAATGACACCATGCCCGAATCTGACAAGGTCAAACGCATCCTGAAGGGCATCGACGACGGCGCATTTCAAATGCTCTTGGCAAGAAATCCAAGACAGTTTCCAAAGTCGTCGGCTTGTGTCAGAGCTACGACGAGTTGAAGAAGCAATGCACTCTGACTCGGGAGCGTTTTGACACCCTGCCTGACAATTTACCGTTGCTTCAG